AAACAATTACTCTATGCTTTTGCATATACGCTACTGCACGTATCAATAACAGGGTTTCGATATATTTTTTCTTATCTCACTTTCTCTCTCTCTCTAATTTCTCTTTGTACATGTTTACTAGCATTGAAATTTGGCCAATTGAACCTTATGGCGGTACCTCGCATAATTTCCGTGATGCAGTCATTTTTAGTCTGATGGTCGGCGATGCGGCAATCGATTCATCTCGACGAGCTGTACACGATGCACACTATTCAAAGTTGCATTTCTCGATAACGGATTTTTTTTATGCTGTTTGGCGTTTCGACATGGCGGTGTAGCACTGATTTCGGATTGATTGGTAACCCAGTCGCGGAGTTAAGTTACACCCCAGGAAAAAATAGTGTCCCAGAAATAAAATATTTAATTGCCTCGGCTATTTTGTATGATTTGTTACCCCGGGGTACCGCCATCAGGATCAATTGCTGCGCGTGCATCATTGACGCACGCGCATGTGACCCATTCGTGCCAGGCCGGCTTGTGGTGTGTGTGTGTGTGATGACGAAGATGAGGTAAGACGCGTTCGACAAGATGTGAATGTTTCACAATTACTCTCGAATTTCAGTGAGGCAGGGTAATTAATTCACCAGTACCATCTCAACTTTACCCTTTGCACAGATATGTGCAGTTGAGGGGGGGGGGATAAGTAAAACATTATTATTGTTTTGCTTTTAAGTGCCTGTACACAAAAAAAAGACAAAATAATAAATATTCTTTGAACAAACCAAAAAAAGGCACTTGTTCCTAATATGTGGCGATTCATGCCCACAATGTGTTTTTCTTAAACCACGGGCTAATGCGTTGAATATATCAGTCGTATCAGGCTCATAAGGTATCTTCAGTTACAAACAGGTAATAATGCAAGACATTCACGTCCGTATTAGTAACATCAACAAACTTCCGCAATTTCCAAATTAATGCCATATCAACGTGACTCCTGGGATGTCTAGAGTGTCTGCATGCTCTGTGTTCTGTAAAGCATGCCAATGACATATGAATCGGATTTCTTTTTTGAAGACTCGAGGCAATGTTGCAAGAGTCCGTCGTTTTACGGACGCGTTTAAAAAAACACACGGATATACCAACTTGGGTGTTGATATGGCTGCGACCTGGAGCTATAGGATGCAACCAGCAGCACACTTGTACGCAGAGAGATGACCGGACAGAGCGTATATATCGACGTAAGTGTGCGAAGCTCTTTCGCGCTCATGGATCGTGGACTTTGATGGCAAAGTTGCACGCGCAGAGAGGCACGCTGCAATCCGGGTACGGGCTGCCTAACCTCACCTCTGCATGCCGATTCTACAGATCCTGGCTACGCTCGTGTTATATACTGCAACTAATAAACTGTACATAGCTATAGAAATCTGCTGTAGTATAAAAAAATAAAACGGACTACACAGTGTCTATTTTTGAATGAGGCCATCACAGTTAAAATGGGCATATCTTCAAAAATAAAATCGAGAAAATATGCAAACGTTATAGAATACCTCTATGCATAAATACTTAAGGCTTATTTCCTTCATTTTAATGGCTATGATGAATATAGACTTTTTTGCAAAAGTAACAAATCTGATGTTTTAATGCCAACTCTCTCAACTCGTTAGTGTAAACGGCAGTGAAATGTGTTTTTTTTTCTCTCACATCCTCCTCGTTGCTGCTATGGATGAGAGCGGTTGTTGTTGTTCTCCTTCAATGTATCAATTCTGACTTGAAACATTTGTGATTTCATCGCACCCAGGAATCGTCGTCGATCGATCGGCACAACCTGTTTAGATAAGTGCTGCCCCCCCCCCCCCCCATGGTACACCGCGGCTCCCCGAGTGACGATGCTCAGCCATGGATCTGGCTACGCCATCGTGGTTGCTACAATTTACCAACGTTCACTTTTCCGTTGCTGCTGGAGCAACAACAGTTTACGTAAATAACATGCGTGTGATGGGTTGGGATTCCAGACGTCCGCAATATTCATCTTCTTGGTTCTTTCGGTAAACTCTGTCTTATCGACAGACATGTTCTTCACCTGAGGACGGCTGCTTGCGTTGTGGCCGAAACGTCGTGAGAATTATTTTATTATGTTTAATTTTTATTATTTTATTACTTCCCTTCTATGTGACTTTACCGAAAGAACCAAGAAGATGAATCCCTGCAGTCACGAAAGCTTTAAATCGAAATTTGTCCGCAATATTGTCTCCATAACGTATTTGGTGTGCAAACCTATCCGTTTAAACCACGCGAAAACATTGTGATGCTGCGTTGGCAGGAGTGCACAAAGCACACAAACTGGATACATTCGGTCAATAACACTGCCCAAAGCAGATTTTTTTTTTCAATTAAATAATCGACGTTTTGGGCAATGGCCCTTCTTCATAGCAGCAGGCGCCATGAACCCACAACGTCAACTAGAAAAAAAAGTTTCCCTCTTCAGGGCAGATTATTGACCAACGTGTCGATCACGCTTCTAGCTGGACTCCTTCAACGCCATCCACTTAATGCTCAGTCAAAAGCAAATCAGTTACCTCTAAGGAAAGTGTACAAGTAAAAATGCCACTTTTTGATGGATTTCGGAAAAGTTGTTACGTTTAACCAATACACCGTTATCCCCCTCGCATGCAAACTAAGTGCCAAATTGTTTTTTACTAAATATTTTAAAGATACAATTAAAATGTTAAACATGTACAGATGTAGTTAAGTGCTTACTATTAGATCATCTGCATCCCAGACTGCGGTAATAAAGCAAGTGCGCATTGCCTGAACCAGCCCACTGTGTCAATTGACGCCACGCTATTCGACTGGAACATCGTCGTCAGTCGTCGTCAGAAAAACACAGGCGCCTAACTGCCGCTGTGACCAAAACCTGACGCCAATAAAACTCTCCTTGGAAAAAGCAGTGCATCAAACGTACCTGGATCACATGGCAGCTTAACACATACAAGATGTAAAAACCCAACAACAAAAATTACATCACGGAATAAGAAAAAAAAAGAATAAGATCCGAGGGAGAATATGTCTTGGCAAATGTTGGCGAGGCGCGGTGGCGGCGGCGGCCCCTCCGTGCGACTCTTGTTCGGGTAGCGCAAGAGGGAGCGTGGAGGCTGGGGGAGGTTTTTGACAATTGGCACAGCGCTCCTTGGCCCCCAGCGAGTAGCACACCCATCCACAGCGCAGAGGATGGAGAGTGCCCTTACCCCCCCTCCCCACCCTCCATCTCTGCCCCCCCTCTCTCCGCTTACCGGCACAACTCCTGCATCTTTCTAACAGTCTTTTGAGCCACGGTGGTGGCTAAGCAGCAGCAAACATGGTTAATAACAATACATTTCAAATATGAAACATAAAAAAAAACCTTTTAAAAGTTCGCAATGTACAATAATTCACCCAATAACACTGTCCTGTCCCGAAGTAACAGTTACAGGGCTTCCCCCCCTATGAATTGCTCCGATCTTAACGGTATTTTGTCAAGTGCCCGCATTCTTCAGGTATTTTTTTTATTAATGCCTAGTTTCAAGCAATCCATGCCATGCTGCGCCGACTCAGATTCTGAAATGACAGAGGCATTTCGATTTTTGTGGGTTTTGAATCAAATATCTTTGGCTTAATATGTAGTCCAGGATTTTAAAATGTGTGTCATGGGTATACACTACAGTATGTCCAGTGAGTGTAATCGTCGAAAGTATGCATTTGGGCGATAAACATGTCATGTCATAAGCATGTCATGCATTTAACCAAAGGTAAAACAAAATCTGAGGATGCTGCCGCAGTGTAACGGTTAGCACATTTGGAATTGCAACCCAGATGGCAAAGGCTTGATAAGATTTTCCAACGTGGCAGTTGAACGAACCGATAGGGGGAGTTTCTTAACTTAACCCTCCGTCCGTGCAGCACTATAAATGGGTAGATCACAGTTCGTCAACCAGCAGGTCGTGTGTGATCGGGTGAAGTTTCAGTACTCCCACGACTTCCAAAACGCCTGGCCAGTGAGGAAGAACAGACCAAATACCCTCTAAAGGGGATCTCAAAAGCTCCATCTAGTGTAGCCTCTATTGGAGTAGCAAGCAAGCAAGAATGGCTGCACTTTCAAATTCACTTTTACAACCAAAAAAAAACCTACAAAAAATAAATGTTACCGAATCAGAACAGCTGAGTCCCCACAAGGCGTTGTATGGATTGCTCTGTTGCATTGTCAGTCATGATCACACACAATACCTACGAATCATCCCCAAGGCATTTTCAAAACTGTTGTGACGACTTTCATAGCAAAGACCTTGCTTTGGGTAAAGCAAAAGTCAAACACTGTAAACAACATGCCGCTTCAAGAGAACACAATGAGGCCAGGATGGAGATTAAACTCTTGAGCAGACAGTTAGATGAAGTGTGCTTCAGAAGGCCACGCGAGAGCACACCACCGACACAAAAGAATAGTCAAGGCACTAACAGGACTAATCCCACAAAAGTCCCAACCTTAAGGCGTTTGTTATGCCACGTGCTTCACATTCACACATTGGACATCATCACCCTTTGACATCAGGAGATAAGAAATACCTTACAGACTTTGGAAAGGAAAACCTGGCATCATGCACTATTTGTCAAATTGCTATATAGCGTTTTAATGCTTTACTGATAACTTATTATTACTATGATTACCACTTCGTACGTTTTCACGGTTGTGCTGACATCACTCTCCGATGCGTTGTTAGGGTTGTACCCCGAGTTTGTTCGGCTCGATCTCGGACGTTTGGAAGCTTCGTCAGGAACTTTGAGACATCACGCCGGACAGGATGTGGTACAACCCGAAGGTGCATGGGAAGGCATCGTTATTTTACATTATTGTGGATTTAAGTGCCCTTCTTCTTGGTTCTTTCGGTAAAGTCACGTAGAAGGGAAGCAATAAAATAATAAAAATAAAACATAATAAAATAAAATAATTTTAATATTATGTTTTATTTTTATTATTTTATTGCGTTCCTTCTACGTGACTTTACCGAAAGAACCAAGAAGATGGATCCCTGCAGTCACGAAAGCTTTAAATCGAAATTTAAGTGCCCTTGTTAAAGCAGTCGAAAAAAAACCCCAGCCAAAATCACGAGTTGTGTCATTAAAGTTTGCAAAAAATATAACTTTAACACTCTCTTTGATAGATAGGGGGAACATGATTCTGGCCAGTTCTATTTGGCATTTATATTTTTTTAATGCTGAATCAGTTAAGGATTAAATTAATACTTTCCACATTTCCAAAGTCTGTAATAACTTAGGTAGGCACAGACTTAATAAATGCTTTATCACACTGTCTGTAAAGTGACATTACAGGTGTCTTAATAAAATGCCCATCGACAGTAAGGTAAGAATAAAGGGCGCCCAACAGGTGCATACTAAAGTGCCTCAATAACCAGGCCACCATCAAACGCACTTAAATAGTGAAATCGGCAGAGTAATATAAGTCAGTGGGACCACCAACTTCCCTTTACGTACATTTGCTTACAATTTGAATAACTGCGGGTACTAAGCTGACAAGAACAACACATGCTTAAGTGAAATACGCAATGGCACTCTTTCTTCAAATATAAATGGAATTATTTTAAAACGTGAGCGAGTTAAATGCCGTCAGAGCAAGTTAGCGGTTCCACAGATTGCTATTGGCCCTGAAAAACAAGCATGCAGAGCAGGGCAGTGACAATAGCTCCAGCACGACCCTCCGCTCGCACTACTACTGGAAGGCCTGGTGGAAGCGTGGCAGTGACGGCGTGCCGACGCTTGAGGTATAGGGAGGAACCATGGGGTGCATGTGCCCCATGTTCAGGCCACCGCCGACCCCCTGCTCGCTCGGCTCCAGCGAGTCTTGCTCCAGCGCGCCACCCATGTGGCCGCCTTGGTCCTCTCCAGCCAGGTAGCCCCCTCCGCCGTCGCCGGCGGTCTCACCCATGTCATCGCCGGCCGGCTGGGCGGGCCCCGGGAGGCTCAGCGGCAGGAAGCTGAGCAGCTGCGAGAGGTCTACGCCGGCGGCGCTAAGCGTCTCGGCCATGGCGGCACTCTCCTTCTGCAGCAGCGGGTCAGACGAGCCGTCATCCATCGCGCCACCTGTGTTGTGGGCCGACGGTGATTGCTGCTGCTGCTGGTGCTGCTGCTGCTGGTGCTGCTGCTGCTGGTGCTGCTGTTGGTGCTGCTGCTGCTGCTGGTGCTGTTGGTGCTGCTGGTGCTGTTGCTGTTGCTGGTGCTGTTGCTGGTGCTGCTGTGAGAGGCGCTTGGCCTCGTCACTGCAAAATGAGGTAGATCCCAGCTGATACTTCTGCGTCGGCAACTCGTGGGGCAATGTCAACGGCAATCCGTGCACGTGCTGCGGCGTCGAGGAATGGATGGGCGACGAAACGGGTTCCATGCAGCCCAACGGCAAGCTTAGCGGATTGTGGTGCTGCTGGTGCTGGTGTTGATGCTGCTGCTGGTGGTGGTGGTGATGGTGGTGGTGGTGGGGGGAGAGAGGCGGCAACGACGCCCCTACTTGCGAATACACATTCATAACCGGCATGGCCTGCAAAAAGGCTTGGGTGGACTGCGCCAGCATGCCCCCGTAGTCTTCCCGCACGTGCTGGTGATGGTGATGATGGTGGTGGTGCGGCTGCTGCTGCTGCTGCTGCTGTTGCTGTAGCGATCCCACGCCCAGCATGCCCAATATTTCCTGGTGCGTTTCCATCCGGCCTTTGAGCACCTCCTGCCCGTGGCTCTTCTTGGCGTGCCTCGTCAGGTGGTCCTTGCGCCCGAAGCGCTGGGAGCAGAACTGGCAGACAAAGTCCTTGCGCCCCGTGTGCACCACCATGTGGCGGCGCACGTCCTTGCGCGTGTAGAAGCGCCGCTCGCATTGCTCGCACGTGTGCCGCTTCTCCTTGAGGCCCGCCGACGGCTTGCTGGCGTGCGTCTTGAGGTGCTCCAGAAGCGCCGGCGTGCTCTCCAGCTGAGCCGAACACACGCGGCACGTGAGGTCGCCGCTGGCGGCCGCGTGCAGCGCCACGTGCCGCCTGAAGCCCAGCTTGGTGTTGTACTTCTTGCCGCACTCCTCGCACTTGTAGGCCAGCTTGTTGGGGTTGTGCGTCTGCAGGTGGTTTTTGAGGTGGTCTTTGCGGTGGAACATCTTCTCGCAGTGCGGGCACTTGTGGGTCTTCTGCGGGGAGTGGGTGGCCACATGCCTTGGGGTGGGGAGCAGAGAAGTGCAAAATGTAAGTACGTAAAAGGTTCACTAATAATATATATTTTTACATTTCGCCACATACAACCAAAAAGTAAATTATGAATCCCAATATTGACTGCAAAAGTGAAATATAAAAGCTTACGTAATAATAAGTAAAAATTTATGTATGCATGCTTATTCAATTAGGCTAGCAACCCACATATGAAGACAACAACTAACAAACACTATTTAAATGATTGCATTAAACAAAAAATCTTGCACATACTTTCCAACACAATGCGTTTGTGCCCTGAAATATCAAGTTGTAATGACGTTACCTTCAGAGCTGCACAACCAGATAACGCCACACTCAATGATGTCATCACATGGCGTGTGAAGTCATCACCTTGGCAGAAAAAACTTTTTACTCAGTGTTAGCTTTTCAATCGCCAAATGTTGCTAACGTTTCAAATAATTTGGTCGATTTTCTCCAGCGTAAATCCTAAAAGTAACACAACTTGAAACTGTCATTTAATTTTATATTAGGTCATCTCGTACGAACGTTATCATGGCCCCTCATACGCCGCTAGACAGAGATAATGTATGAATGCTTTCAACCCTAAGTTGGCTTCAATATTCCTAATTTATTTACTTCATCATTTTACATTTTTTCTGCATTATACAGCACAATCAATCATTCAACAACTGTAAATTTCACCTGAGATTGCACATTTTACCTTTCCTATATTAGTAAAAAACAACGCATGACACAAACTGCGGTAAACGCAAAAAATCGGGAGCTTGCGGCAAAGAACGGTCAGTCTAATTATGGGAGCACCACTCTCCATTTCCCATTCCTTTCTATCGTTCTCATATTGGTGATGCTGTGGCGAGATGTGAACTCCCTCGCCTGATATGCAGGAGGTCTTGGGTTCGATCCCGACCCTGACGCCTGCTGCTGTATATTTGGAGTTCATATATTCTCCCCGTGGGCGTGTTCGTTTTTCTCCGGGTTCTCCAGTTTTTCCCTCTATATTTAGAATCGTGTAGTTAGAGTATTTGCTTGTTTTTAATTTCCACATAAGACACTTCATTGAGCTATCATTTGTAGCCAGGTTGCGTCTGAAAAAGAGCTAAATAGCTCAGTGGGCCTTACCTGGTAAAATAAAAAATAGTTTAGTTTTTTAGTGTATTGTTTCCTAGATCATGATGAAGAGCGCCTATTGTCACATTTGGTCATGCCGGTTACCTGGATGCCATGAACCCTGGTTCTGTGCTTTCAAATATTTGTTGTCGTTGAATACATAGAGAGTACGTACGTATGTATGCTGAACTTCTTTCGCACCATAAGTAGCCAACCGTGCAAATCGGAGGTGCGGGGGAAGGACAAACTAAAAACAATCAGTTCTAAAGAAATAATCGGAGGTGCGGGTTTTCTACGCAAAGAAAAGAGAAAACACGAGCAAAAAAGCATCGGAGCACCTGAGCAGCTTGTACTTGGAGACGAAGGCTTTGGAGCAGCCCTCGATGGAGCACTTGTAGGGCCGCTCGCCCGTGTGCGAGTACGAGTGCACCTTGAGCTTCTCCACGCTGATGAACACCTTGCCGCACGCGCTACACGGGAAGGCTCGCCGCGGCCGGCCCTCCCGGCCCCGCCGGCGCGACGACAGGAGAGGGCCCGAGCCCTCCCGCTTGACGGCGCGCAGTCGGGGCGGGCTGCCAACGTCGGCGGCGGCGTCGCCGCACGGGGGTCCACCGCCTGGCGCGCGCACGCGCTCCGCCTGCGCACAGCACCACCCCCCCCACCACCCACGCACAGCAAAGGCGGTCAATGCCCTTCGCTCGTCCGGCTGCCTTCAAAGTTAAAACGTTTCGCGGGTTACGCAAATGCACGAGCATTGCAATATTTGACGGATAATGTGTGCGGTGGGAGAAGGGGAGGGTGGTGGTTTGTTTGTTTGTCAACGTCACGCAATGAGACGAACAATCCATTCGGAAGTCTCGCAGAGCAGTGCATCGCTGGTGCGATCGGGGACGGCTCATGGAAGTAGATCTCAGAGCTTTACATCTGAGATCTCTTCAAGTGACCTCTGCTCCACATGGTAGAGGGCAGCAATGTTTTCAATGTGGAAGTTTAAAAAACAAAAAATTCTGACACCACGGCTATGCAAGGAGGACGATGAAACGATTATAAAAATACATTTTACCGAATACCACGTATACGACACATTACCGAGAGCCCCGAGCTGTCTGTTGAACTTTGAGTGATTGAGGTGTGTATATTGGCAATGTATGAACGTGCATGGGAGCGGCCCAACCTTTAGTCCAAAAGTGCTTAGCTCCTCCGCCGCCGCCGCAGGTGGCTGGTGGATCAGCAGGGCCTGCTGCTCGAGCAGCGAGCAAAGCAGCGCCTGCTGTCCGCCAGAGGTTGGGACTGGGCCGCCGACTTCAATCTGCCCCACGTCGCCCAGCTGGCCCGGCCCTTGCCTGTCCGCCCCCGGGGGGTGCACCATCTGATTCGGTGGTAGCGTTAACCCGGCAGGGCCGCAGTCGCCCTTCGGCTCTTCGTTGGCGAGGTGCCCCTCCGCCCGACGACCCACCGCCGCCCTCTGCTTGCCCTTTTGCCGTCCGCGACCTTTGCCGCCGCCAGGAGTTTTCCTCCGAGCCAAAGTCAGTTGTGCCTCCAGCTCCGGTTGAGTCTGGTGGCCTGAAACGAGTGCTTGCTTGCCTTCATCCAGATCCAGCACTCGCGCGGGATCCAGATCGGAGTCATCGTGGCTGCTGCAGTGATGCGACTCCAGCAGGGAGAAAGTGCTGAACACGTTGCTGCAGTTGGAACACTTCCAGGGGTCAGGGGTTTCTGGCTGCAAAGGAACGACGCAAGCGTCACGTTCGCGCACGCACGGCCCGTTTGCACGGCGTTGAGAAAACCTAAATCACGTCAATTCAGGGTAATAGCTTTCATGGGCTCGTCTATGAAATGCTCCAACCTCCAAAGGTTGGGAACTACTGCCCTAGACATATAGCAGTGCCAAGTCTGCAAAATCAGTGTAGGTTACCTGGTCTTCCTTAGCACTGTTATCATGTTAAGTAAGCTATTGGTGTTTTGTATTGATCTATGTTCATCAGCTTGTCCTCATCATGGCTAAACACGACTTGTATACATACTCCTCTAAATGATATTCACAATCCAGAGGTTGTTGATTCACTCTCCTGGCATGGCAGTTTAAACAACACCTCCCTGCTTCTATCCATCCAGCAGTAAGACTGGGTGCACCACAGGTACTCGTTTGACAGGTCACGTGGAGTGGGGTCGAGCCCGGGTATACTCCCAACTCTTCCAAGACATCTGGGCCAGCGGAAGAGCGCAAAAATACACTTTACAGCAGTCCATCATAGAGGTTGTGGGTTAGATCGCGTAAATATATAAATGTGTCGTTAAACCCGCCACCACCCGACACAGCCAACTAGTAAGGTTTGTCACGTAAACAGAACGTGGCCAATTCGTCACTAGTACAGCACACCGGTCTGTTGGAGAGCCAAGCCACAACATTTACAATACATTGTTCTGTTTACGTGACAACCCTTACTAGTTGGCTGTGTCGAGTGGTGGCGGGTTTAACAACACATTTATATATTTACACGATCCAACCCAAAACCTCTTATGGATGATATTGGTCGCGAAAGCCTACGTGTTAAACTGACTCTACAGCAGTGGTTCTCAACATTTTTTGGCTACTGTACCCCTTGACGAATAATGAAAATCAATATTTTAACCAATTGTCCATTTTGTGAGTTATCTTAACGCGATAGGATTTGCAATTTTTTTAAAAAAATTCGACAGACGCTCTGAATGCATGACGCCATTTGTTGGTGATCGCGGGTTACGCTTGGAGTTACCACATTGTTTACGATCAATGAGTTTAGAAAGGTCCTTTTTATCGTTTTAGGTTACCACACGGATTTACATTTTATAGTAGTTATTTTACATTGGCAGATTCATACGTGATTATTCACCAATGACTCCCATATATGATGTAGTTTCACCCCCAGGGATCTGTGTACCCCTGGTTGAGAACCACTGCTCTAGAATAGCTCTTTAGGGCTCCCTCTAGCAAAGGCTCTTCCGCTACCAGTGGCATGAGCAAGGTTGGAAGACTACTTATCTACATTTACCTTACCCAGATAGAGTAACAGTGAAATACGTATATTACGTGGTCAAAAGTTAGCCTTAGATGGGAGTGCAGTTAAGAGTTTGTATTATTATACATTTATTTATATACTCCCACATCTACGTTCACCGCCTTCACAAACCCAACGCTGACCAGCGTGGTGAAGTATGGTCAAACAACCCCCACGAACCACACTGTGTGTGGGGGAGGGGCCCTCATCCAGCAGCGGATTGACAAACGGGCAGCAAGTGAACAGGAACCCGTGAGCGAGAGGGATTTTACAACCGCGTCCACGTATGGTGCCAACGCCGTTGCGTTTTTCACTGCGCTGTGACTGGTGCTGGCATGCGCTGTCGTTCAAGAGGCAGCTGCAAACGCACGGCCGGGCAGCGCCCACCTTGGTGTTGGTGATGTACACCGGGCCTTGGTGCTGGTAGGCCACCAGGTTCTGTTCCTCCTGCGTTTTGGTCGGACGCACAAACATCATCCAGTTGCTCGAGTCTTCGTCCGGAGCGTCCAGGAAGAGCAAACCTCTCTCCACGGGCACCTGAGCGTCACGCAAACATTACCTTTATGATGACCACAGCCTTCAAAAAACGAAAATCCTTGTCCCTTCATAATACACCTATCGTAATTATTATTCGCATGTTCACGCAGTAAAACCTGTCTCACAACCCGTTTTCAGGAGCAGGGGACAACGACTGTGATGTATAATTCCAATTTGGAAAGTTGCGGGCAAATTTACAAGTGACACCAGCACACAATGGCATACTCTTGCGAATGACATCACAGGATCTTTAATGTCCACTGTGAAGAAGACGGCGTGTAGTTTTGGTGACTACACACCGCAGTGATAACCAGCGCGGCTGCTGGGATCAAACCGGGAACCTCTGCAACAAGCGGCGAACGAGCTACCGCCAGGCCGTGTCAACGACACCATAGCCACGGCTTATTTCCTTACTCGATGTTTTCCTGAATCCTGCTAGGTTATATTGTATGTATGTTTGACTTCTTTCGCACCGTGCGTAGCAAACCGTGCTAATCGGTTGGCTTAGAGTAGAGATTATTGACAAAAAGCATTCCAACTACAGTAAAGCGTACGTAATAATCCGATATTATTATACTCTATATTCCAATAACCGTTTAGATAAACCTATTGATAGGTTGAATGTGGTACACAACAATTATTCCTAGAATGTACAGCGTGCTGGACTGTCCTCGCTAAAATTAAGCACTCCCATAAGAGGCATGAGCTACACAACGATTTTCGATTAAACAGCTTAATAAAAAAAAAGGCTGCAATGTTGGGCTCAAGATGAATATGAGAAAAAATTCAAGTCACGAACAAAAAGTTTGAGAGAAGATGGACTGATGTGATATAAAAGTATGCGGAGCTAATTGGACTTGCTGATGACTGGTACCAGCAGTGTCATGATCCGCCTCTAGAGGAGGCTCGTGAAGGACACTACTGGGCAGTTAGAGGCAGTCACCCTCCAAAAACAACAAAGGGAAGAGGGGCGATGCTCACAACAATGAGCAGAGTGCTGGGTGGATAAAATACAGCAAGTTGGCACAATGGGGAACACAGGTGGTGTATCTAGACACAAGACATCTCAGTGCATCAACCCATAACACCAGGGGTTATCCCGAGACCTCCTGCGAGTGAGCCTTCGACACTTCAAGTGGACTCAAAGTACACCTAGCCTGGCACAAGCGCCGTGGTGACACTACCGCCACTTGGTGGCAAACGGAAGTTATTTTTGATGTTCTATGATCACCTGCCAGCGAGCCTTTGTGGGGAGTAGTGGCAAAGTGGTTAGTACCTGGTATGCCTTAAATCTCATTTCAAGCATTACAATTACTACCGATAGTTTGAGCCTAGGGGACCCCTGGTGGAAAGGCATCCCTGTGCAGCACAAGGTACACACAGCAGGACAGTTACACCATGCACAACGATTGCACTGGGTGTGGACGGTTAATTGATCAGGGTGGATATGTGACACTTCTATTCATTTTTCACTTTAATTCTTTGACTCGTTTCTTCAAAACTGCTTTTTGTTGTGTCTAGTTTGTTGTCCTTCCCCCACGCATCCGATTAGCACGGTTGGCTACGTACGGTACGAAATAAGTTCAACATACATACATTCATTCACGACGTTGACCTGTATCGTGAAGGGCGAGGTATGCCACCGATCCGTACTATAGTGTAAACCGAAACATCGATCCTGACACTTATTATACCTTATCCAATCACTCAAACACTGAACATCTGTGAAACAGAGCTCCACAGATCATCGGATTTCTCCAGGATAAATAAAGATTCTGATTCAATGGCGTTCGACGCCACGGTGCAATCACATACAACTGCCGATGCGGTACGTGAATACATATCTATGTAAATAAAGACCTTAATCTGTACATGTCTCAAAACCTCTAGGGTACTTCTCGGCAAGGTAGACAGCCATGATTCCTGCCTTGATAGAGTGTTAAACAGCAAATACAATTAAAGCGAAACCCATTTTTCTATCTTTTATTGTTTGAGATATTTTGAACGAAAAAATACGCATTTTATGATATTCAAATCTGAATAATTCGAAAATGGTAAAAGAAAGGAGCTTCCCCTCATAGAGTATTAAGTTAATACATGTGTGTTCTTTCCAATAAAAAAGAACAAAATTTTTAAATTGAGCAGTTTCCGATGGTTACGTCTCTAAATATAAGAAGTTGAATCAAATCGTCAACATTTTTTGCAGAAAAATACAAAGTTTTGGAGTAGTTGTTAGTGTCTGATCGTAGATAAAATAAAAATTGTAAAAAAAATCATAGGTTAATTATATATTTTTAAAACGATTGCCTGGCATAGACAGGCTTTATGAACTAGAATGTATATGGTATTGTAAAACAAAATGTAAATAGCCAACCTCACCTGGAGCACAAGCTTATTATTATACGCTTTTTAACACATTCCTGCGGAGGGAGCTGGTAGGAACGTTGGGTTGCTCGGTCAATGGCCAGGGTCAACGACGGCGTGGTGTATTCCGCAAATATGGCCGACTATGAGGGCGGGCACAAGCCGGCGTGAGTAGGTTAAACGTTGAGTTTTATAAGGGCACCACGGGTTGACCAGCCCCTCCCCACCCAGCCCCACCCCTCCCACCCCCCACCCAGCCCCTCCCCACCCAGCCCCTCCCTACCCTCCCCTCTGCACCCAGCCCCTCCCCACCCTCCCCTATCCACCCAGCCCCACCCCTCCCATTTTTGGATGCACGACGGACGGACACAATAATCCCCTGTGGGCTGGTGTAACCAGGAGGTTCCTACCAGTATTAACTCACTCTGTCTGTTGTTGTATCCTCAAATCTTGTAACTCAATTTTAAACCCACTTCCCAATGTGGTATCGACTGCAAACGTGGCATACTTACGGCATACTGATGACAATACTATATTCTATCATTAAAACGAAAATATATATATTTTTAAATCCTTTATATTAAGTTCGCTTGCTTGCTTGCGTGCTTGCGTGCTTGCTTGCTTGCTTACGACCGTGCAAATCTTTCGGTCGTTTTTTAACCCACTTCCCGTGATCCAATCGAGCTGACATTTTCCACACAGACTCGTTGTGCGTGACAATTAATTTTCGTGAAAAAACTTTCCAAAATTTTACACTGTTTAGGGAAAACAAATTAAATATTTAATTACCAATTGCTTAATGCTGGCAGACAATCATCTGACCCATAGGTGGCAGCCATCTCAAGCCACAGGACGAGAGGACTCTAGCCGCCACGCATATAAAGGATTTAGAGTGAAAAACTTTGTTTTTACGGGTTAATTTTTGAAACATTATTTTTTATATGTTATGTTTCGCCTTGGGTCTAATTGTCCACGCTCAACTCACGTTGGCTGTAATGGGCCACGGCCCCTTACGTTATGGCAAGCTTCGGGGCCACTTCCTGGAGTCGTGGAATTCTTCTATTACTAGTATGGTACATTTCATTAAAGCGTGTTTTTTCAAAAGTTTTTTTAAATATTACTTTTTTTTGTCTCAGTTAGTTGGGGTGGAGGACAGGCAACCATCAAACCGCCCAAACTGTGCACACTTTTGGATACATTTCTTGGAAAACACTCGGAGGGCTGCAGAGCAACACAAAATAACTCAGCCTTGACAGAGACGCACAACACTGCGACTAACAACCCACAAGCACTTGCCAGCCACAACACCAAATGTGTTAGGCAAAACATAAACAGTTGTTCGTTTATGCAACAATGTTTAAAAAAAAATCTATTTTATTGCGAAAAGCTCTTAAAAGGTGCCTGCGACAACTTGTTTTAATCTAATTACATATCTATTACGAGGGTTATTTCCGTATAAATGCAAACTTGTGCATTAAACAAGAGACCTTTTGTGGTTTTTCAATTATTCCATGTGGTTAACCTGCAATTGAAAATGGTCCACAGCCGCCTATCAATGTGAAGGTTGCAATGAGACCTTTAACTCCCCCGTGCAATGTGGGCAGTCATGTGAAGGAACGCACGCTTTGTGATACCATGACCCCTGTCGCACAATAGGGGCACAGAAGGAGGAGGAGGAGGTTTGAACTGATGAACTATGCACTGCTTTGGAGCCACAACACGACTCCTTATATTTGAAACTAAACTAAATTTTTTTTTTAGCAGGTAAGGCCCACAGAAGCGACCTGGCTATCACAAATGACAGCTCAACGAAGTGGCTTATCATGTGGGAATGTATCGCAGCCAAATACTCTAAACGCACGTTGATTCTAAATGTGGAGGGAAAAACCGGAGGATCCGGAGAAAAATCCACGCGACCACGGGTAGAGAGACATGCAAACTCCAAATATACAGGCGTAAGTGTCCGGATCGAACCCACGCCCTCCTGGATACCAGGTAAGTGCGTTAACATCTGGCCACCGTGGTGTGAGGTTATCACTGGGGGACAGAAAGATGGCATGGTACAATAATCTGAATATATCTGCAAGTGAAAAATGTAAAAGGCCAAAGGCTACAACTATTAGTCAGCTGATTCAAATTCTACATCACGAACTTTGACATAGAAATAGTCGAACATAGAAACAGTCAAACGATGCTCAAGTGAGGTCCATCTTCGACGAATATTCCATCTCAATTTGAGTTTAACATCGAGCGTGAAATCCCGCTTGAACCCGCGGCCAACGTAAGGAGCGTGCAGCGGTCTAACCAGATGGGATTCTGGTTCTCAGCTCCAGCTCTCGTGCTAAGGGGCATGGCTTCGCTCTCCTCTGTCCTGCACTGCACGGCAGGCTACCCAGCCCCGCACTCCCCACAAATAGGTGTCTCGTTCTCACACAACACCGCACGTGCCTTGTCCACGTACGCCACACGTTGAGGGTGGACACACAAGACACAAACATGCCTCCTCAGCAGGGATTCATTTCTCACTGAATATTTTCCGGTTTCGCTGGTAGACTGGAGTAGATGGCATGTGACTATGTGCCACATCCATGGGAATAGGTATACTGTAAGTGGAGTGTCAGGTGCAGAAATATGTCAGAGGTCATTGACCCAAACATACCCAGCAGAAATGCGGCCCTTCGTGTGCGCTTGCGCAAGCACACACACATGCGACGCGAGTGTTCAACTCATGACCACTCTGTTTTGCACCACCAAATATAGGTGTGTGTGCAGTCAGGCATTCCACCTGAACATGTGAGACTTCAGTATGATGACAAGTATGACTAATTTATAAATTAATACTTGAGAAAAACTTGCTTTAGATAAAAATAAAAGTTGCCACACCTTCAATATTTTAAAACTTTGTTAAGTAAAAAAAAGAAACCCATCTCTAAAATAGCATACACATGTTCGATTACAAAATGTAATTTAAGGCGTCCAACAAATATTTTCTTAAATATGAATCACGTTATGAGCACAGGAAACGCAATTCAGGGTCACCGTCACCACCTTCCAAATTCCCAACCTCTCGCATTATTGCCAAACGATGCGTAATCACGAATCGCGTTCAACGAGCAGGAATAGGCCCAGGAAATGCCTCATCTCCTCCAGACCTCCACCGCTGGGCCCAATTACCACTTCCGAAAGCAGTCAGCCCGGCCTCTCACAATAAACAGCGCGCTGGCATGAGATAATGCCCGCCGTTTGGACTCCTTTTGTACTGGGTACAACTCGCATTCTTGGGTAATGACACGTAGATGGGTTTAGTTGCTGTCGAGGAACTGTGGGTCACTTGAACTCTTGCCAAGGCAGGAATCATGGCTGTCACAAAAACACTCTATTAATAGCACTTTTGTCGTCACCTATTTATAAACATGCGCAGCAAAGGGCCCGTCAACAACATGTTGGATGCCCAAAAACAGGCCTTACCCTTACGTATGTCCCCCGTGGTCAGAATTTATCAGCATTGTCAATGATTATTTATACCACATCTACCATGCAGTACATCTCGAGGCACGAGAACAAATTGGTATTTGAAATGATGACTCGGTAAGGAAGTGATTTCAGACCAAATACTATGTTCAAAAATATGGTATAAGCAGTATACCCAAAGATGGAGACTAAACTAAATCGAACAGCCCAACTGTGCTCAAGTCTTTTGTCCTTTTTATTCACTTCATTCAGTTATGCATATGCTAAACTCATCGATTGTGACTACATGCATCAATTAAGTCCGGCTAAGCTGTTCCTCAGCTTCGGAATCAATCGTGCGCGAGTTTGCGTTGGTGCGAAGCGGAAGCCGACGCGAAGCCTTTGGTGATAAAGACCGAGCGCGTCTGCGTGTGCGCGCGCGTGCGGTCTCGCAGCTTCCCAAGCCAGGCGCGGGGCAGTTGCCTATTCCGCCGGAGCGTGCGCACGCCCCGCCCCCCGGAGTGGGCACGCTCCCCAGGCAAGGGCCGTCCCCGAGAGCAAAGCAAAACAGAGCGGCGAGGCCGAATGATGTGACGAGGGGACCCGCGCTCGTAACGCGTCTCCCCAATCGGCCTGTCACGGCAGAGCAAGGGGGACTCGTCAAACCCAGGGGTTCTCTCCCTGCCGACACTAACGCCACTGTGAGCCTGGCTGACCCCCTTTACACCCGTGGCCATTTTTACTGTCAAAACGTTTAAAACTTTTCAGCGACTCAGGTTTAAACGCTTACACATGCTTCCCTTTGGCAAATGCAGGTCCGGCAATTCAAGCAGTTGTGTGAAATCCTTTGGCCGGATATTTAGAACACGGCCTCCCTCTCAAAGAACTCGAGAGAGACAGCGCAGGTTTACAGGTCGCACGAGCACGAGAAGGCTCATCTCGTCTTTGCTGTACGTACTTGTACGTGACCGTGGCTCGACTGGAGGAGCGCCGTGGCAAGCGCTACATTTCACCGGCAGGTGTAAAACAACTGAGATGCAACCAGGCGGTTTCATCCGCATGCATCCTCCACTCACGTGTGAAGCAAGAGAGCCTGGACTGGTCAGCAAGCTACTCACATAGCAGGTCCGAGGACATCTTCAGCACCCGCCCACACGAGCCCTGAAAAACAAGGGGCAAGGTCAGTGCCATGGCGCGACCTCTCCGTTCGCACGCAAACATTCCCTCGTTTATTTATTTCAGAAATGTTTAACCGCGACGAAGTCCCCCGAAGTCAATGAAAGACTCAATTAACCACCAAAAAAACACATCGAAATAATGCGCACGCATTCTAGATTGTTACGTAAACTGCTGCTGCCAAATACAGTGCTGAAGGAGAATTCTTGGGGAGCTATGAACCTAACCTTGACCAAATCACCTGGAATCAGCCTGATCTCATCAGTGCGGCAATATTGTGCTAAATCACAAGTAGCAAAGCCATTTCCAAGCTTACGTGTAAACCAATTAGTATATGGGCCAACACCAAATATTTTAATTGTTGGCACCACGTAACTTATACCAACATATTAAAATTTCCCAGAAAGTGAAGTGTACAATAACCTTATTTAATAAGCATGCTATTACACAATACACTGTAATAGCCATATGCACAAACTGGAATTGCTAAATATTTGCTACTGCTTATAGTACTGAATTCTGCTCAGATCCACGGACTAAATGTGTGGTTGCTCCTGCGTGAGTTTTTGCGGCCGTGCCACAGAACTCTCCGATGTGTTTTAGGGTTTTAATGCTGCGTATTGTTCGTCTTCTTCAGAAACCGAAAGCTCTCGGTGCACGGATAGCGAAAGGTTGCAGATCGTACCATTCAAACATGGGGCACAACCAGAAAACAAACGTCTAAAAACACAATCCGGGAGTGCAATCCGAGATTGCAACACGAAACAAAAAGAGAACGCAGCAGCATTCAAACGCTGACACAAGGAAGCAATGTGCTTGACAAATGACTGTAGCTGAACACAACTCACAATCCCACACGTAGGGCTTGAGCCGGCGTTTACAATCATTGTAGCAGTGTACCTGCACGGCACTAATGTCGTGTTGCGTACGAGTCACCCGCTGGTGGATATGCGACTACAACTCCCTGGGGACTGAGGTACTGTTATAGGTGGATATGTGATACGGTTGAACAAGTGAACATCTTTAGAAAATATGACCATTACATCCACGCCCAAGTCAGATACTGGACAAAGTTGAAGCGCAAACTGCCTTAAATGTGGGAAACGTGTTGCTGTGCTTTAGAAGCGAATGTATGCAAAATTAACAATTACAAGACTGCATGTGAAAAGGTCGGATTTGTGAACGTCTATCACAAACGACTGTTACACTGTGTACTGCTCAGGGCGGAAATGTGACGGTCGGATATGAGACGTTGCACTGTACTCACACTGTCACCGGCAGCAAAACAAGTGAATAACCTGAGTGGCAAAGGAAATGCCAAGAAATTTTGGAATACCATTGAAGCAGAAATATTCAAGCTAAGCGGCGCGCAATTGTCCTCATGGACATTCGTACAAACTACTTTTAATTTAGTTTCTGAGCTGCATCTGTTTACTTTGTAATCAGCCACTGAATAGTAGTGGTGTTGTAGGTACTGTATACGGAACGCGAGAATTCGTGTGCCACTCAATAAGCATATGGGAATGTGAAGTTTCAGTATTCTTTGCTTACATCCTCTGAGTGTGTTAAAACTATTTAAAACTATTGCTATTTTTTATTTTACCAGGTAAGGCCCACTGAGCTATGGAGCTCATTTACAGAAGCGACATGGCCACAAATGATAACTCAACAAAGTGGCTTATCGTGTGGAAATGTGTCGCAGCCAAATACTCTCAACGCATGTTGATTCTAAATGTGGACGGAAAAACCGGAGGATCTGTAGAAAAATCCAAGCGAGCAGAGGGAGAGAGAGATAGACACGCAAACTCCAAATACACAAGCGTTAGGGTCGGGATCGAGCCCATTACCTCCTGCATACCAGGCGAGGGAGTTAACATCTTGCCACCGCAGCACCCGTATTGCTCTTCGTGTAAAAGTCAATTGCTGAAAATGTCACTGATGTGTTAATAATTACACGTTGCTCAGAATCCCTTTTTTATTCTTCTCCGCGTCTATGCCTCTATACTACGACTCTATGTATCCATTGTAATGCATTATTAAACTCCGTTGAGCAACTGGTAAACATTGAGGGATTGTCTTTAAAAATGTAGTGCTTAAGGTTAAAAAGAAAACTGAATCAAGCCAGCAACTGTGACCTTGAAAAAAACAAACTTGAATTTCGAGTGGCACCCTAGCGAGAATCAATTCCAAAAGAAACGTACTTGTTTTTGCACTATACCATACATCGGTATTTTAAAACATTAAACATTAGACTGCGCAGATTTTCACAGTTGTGCTGTACAGCTTTCCGATGCGATTTTCGAGATTTGTTTGGCATGAAGTCCGACGTTTCACTCCATGTACTGGCAGCTCATCAGGAATGGTTCCTGAGGAAGAAAAGGGTCCCAAAGAAAGTCCTGCAGTGAACGTTGGACATCAGATCGAACGGCGTGCGGTAACAACCCGACAGCATGTTAGAGAGCTATAGAACATCAGAGAGTACCGGCATAGCTAAAGACACCCTGTTAACGCCACGCTTGATCCTAGTTCGCCGCGATTATACAAGAACATTCGATCCAAAAATCCTGACAATTTATGGGATAGCTAAGACCTCTTTCACACATTAATTCTAGATTTGAAGCTTTCGTGACTGCAAGGATTCATATTCTTAGGTTTTTTTCGGTAAAGTAACATAGGTCAAACATTAAAAGTAAAATAAAATAAAAATCACGACGTTTCGGAGGCAACACAAGCTTCCGTCTTCAGGTGGAACCGTCACAGCCACGACAGCTGTATCAAGTAAATGAGAGATTTCAGGAGCTACCACTCCGTTTATATAATGGTTGGAGAGGGGGGGGGCCTCTTTCACACACCACTTCTGTCATGTCACTGCTGGATGAGCACCTCTAAATGCCATGTGGATCGTGTGGGTTATTTTGGCCATACTTCACCAAGCTGATCAGTGCAGTGTTGAAGGTGGCAGATGGTATGGACACGATATCATAGAAGTGCAGTACAACACATTTGTATGCACTGCCCTCTGCTGCCCACTGCACGTAAAACGTGATAACAACCAAAACCACGTGGGGATGCCTTTTCTGTGTTGTACCTGGACGCTGTCGAAATTTAAATTCGTTTTAAAGACTTAAGGGAAGGGTCGTGGAAAAAGTAATTATGTCATTTTGCAATTACTTTACAACTAGCTTTTGCTAGTCCAAGGACGGGTGTATTGCCGTAAATCTGAAACTTGCAAGCGAAAAGCTGAACCGCGACGGGATATTAATTGCATCCATTCGTGTGTAATTTGTAAGGCCACGGTGACACAGACTTATTTCATTTAAAGGTTATAATCCCTTGTTCATCATGACGTCCTTTTTGTCTCAATAGCGTTATGGAGATCACGTGACGTGAGGGTTCTGCCTTTGTAGTGAGGGTTGTGAGTTGACGCTGAGGAGGGGGGGAGGCGCCTCGCCCCCCCCCCATGGGGAGTGACGTCACCCGCTAATTATTATTAATAGGGAGGGGGTGTCCACGTGGAGGACGTCACCTCTTCATGATTATTAATGAGGGGGGCTGGTCGACGCGGAGTGACGTCACGCACGGGACACACAAACATTCTTGGCTCATTATAGTAGTAAATGGTTAAAACAATGGGAAAAGTTTCTTAAACTCAGCTGCCCTCTGTCGACCCAGATGTATAAATGGGTAAACCTCAGTTCTTTGCTCAGCAGGTTTTAAATTGTGGGATAAAGTCTGAGTACTCTCACCTTTACTAAACGTCTGGCCAAACCTAGTAGCGTCGGGTAAAAATACCCTCTTAGAAGGGCACCCGAAAGCTACCTTTCGTTGAGACACTTCTGCAAGGAATGCCATGAGCAGGAAATTGCCAGGGCCGTACCTTTAATTGTTACGTCATGACCGAACGAGCTGAGCATTGCCGAAACTCCAGATTCCAATGACCTCGATGTAACTGATTATAGCCAGTGTCGGTTTGGAGAGCAGCCAGTCTCGTCATCCCCATTCCGGCCCTTCAAGAACTATATCAAATGATTACAGAGTCTCCGAAAATTTCCTGGCCCGGAGGGCTGCCCTGTACCACTTACTCCACGTGTCACAAAAAAACAAACCTTCTCACTCGTTGTGGTTTTACGGCTCTTGGAAGTTCGTGACCGCAAGCACTCACGTGCCCCCCCCTTCCCCAAAAACCCAACCCATCTGACAACGAAACACTTAATTGTGATGTCCACCCACACACATGCAGGCATGAGAGCATGATTTCAACTCTACTCATCCAGCAAAGGTGCAAAAAGTTATAGCTCTGACAATTAGTCGAGATTAATTAATCAAATAACAATTATAAAAATAAATGACTATTTTTTTTCGTGGATTACTCGGGAAACTTTAAAAACAGCGGCCATCCCCTACACCTTTTCTCCTGAAGGCGGGAAACCCCCGCCACGAGCCACGGCCAGAGTGACACGGTTGATGATGTCAATGATGTCACCAAGCACAGCCCAGCACCTCCCGTCCAGTGGCACACATGGGAACAGAGGTGAGACTGTTCCCCCCCCACCAATGATTGTGTTATGGCATAATCGATGACTTATACAATCAGACATACTGTATCTACAAAATATAGATTACTGCTGCATACAACTTTTAACCGCAGGTGAAAACAAGAAACAAAAAGCCCGATATAGTTAGTTTTTTTGCTGTGAATCTAAAATAATATCCATGTCATAACATAGAGTATATACGGTAAAAGGTCAAGCAACAAGACTCGATTATGTAGCATTCAGCGTCTCTTGAGAGAGAAAAAATATCTCCACTGGATGTTTTATTGGCACTCATGTGGTCGTATCTTTAAACTAAAACCAAACGCAAACAACTGTCAAATAAACTCCATACGTAGGCTTTCACGACCAATTTTATGATTCATAATTGGAAAAACAAAATCAATTGTCACATTTGCGGCACGTGACGTGTTGATTTGGTCGGCTTTGTGT